CCTTCCCCCGTTCCTCTTTCGCCTGCCCTTCCTCGTTGTCCTCTTCGCTGCGCCCTTCCTCGTTGTCCTCTTCGCCTGCCCTTCCCCCTCGTGTCCTCTTTCGCCTTGCCTTCCCACCCCTCTTCGCCTTGCCCTTCCCTAGAAGTGTCCTCTTCGCCTGCCTATCCCCCGTGTCCTCTTCAGCCTGCCCTTCCCCCGTGTCCTCTTCGCCTGCCCTCCCCCCTCTTCGCCTGCCCTTACCTCGTGTCCTCTTCGGCCGGCCCTGCCTCCGTGTCCTCTTCGCCGCCCTGCCCTTCCCCCGTGTCCTCTTCGCCTTCCCGCCCTCTTCCCCCCTGTCCTCTTTCGCCTCCCTCCCACCCTCTTCGCCTGCCCCTTCCCGCCGTGTCCTCTTCGCCTTGCCCTTCCCCCGCTGCTCCTCTCGCCTGCCCTTCCCCCGTGTCCTCTTCGCCTGCCCTTCCCTTCGTGTCCTCTTCGCGCGCCTTCCCTCGTGTCCTCTTCGCCGGCCCTTCCCCCGTGTCCTCTTCGCCTGCCCTTCCCCCGTGTCCTCTTCGCCTGCCCTTCCCCCGTGTCCTCTTCGCCTGCCCTTCCCACCCTCTTCGCCTGCCCTTCCCTCGTGTCCTCTTCGCTGGCCCTTCCCTCGCTCGCCTGCTTCGCCTGCCCTTCCCCCGTGTCCTCTTCGCCTGCCCTTCCTCTTCGCCTGCCCTTCCCCCGTGTCCTCTTTCGCCTGCCCTTCCCTCGCTGTCCTCTTCGCCTGCCTTCCCTCTGTCCTTCGCCTGCCTGCCCTTCCCCCGTGTCCTCTTCGCCGGCCCTTCCCCCGTGTCCTCTTCGCCTGCCCTTTCCCTCGTGTCCTTCTTCGCCTCCTTCCCACCCTCCTTCGCCTGCCCTTCCCCCGTGTCTCTTCGCCCTTCCCTCGTGTCCCTCTTCGCCTGCCCTTCCCCGTGTCCTCTTCGCCTGCCCTTTCCCGCCTGCCCTCCCTTCGTTGTCCTCTTCGCCCTGCCCTTCCCCGTGTCCTCTTCGCCTGCCCTTCCC